TTTACTTTGTTTTCTATTTATATATGTATGTATTATGAAAACGCGATAGAAAAATGTGTATATTGATGGTCATCTCATCGGGCTCTCATCATTAATTTTTCTCTTCATTTTTTGTTTAATGGTGAATTATTGAGGGGGGGTGATTGTACAGGCCACCCCCCCCCCCCACCTGAAATATTGGGGGGGATATATCCCCCCATCCCCCCCGGGATCGACACCCATGTTCGTTATCAATATAGATTGTTGTTTATGTTGTTGGGTTTAAGGCTGTCCAATCTGAAAAGATTATTTCACCTGGCTATACTGTTCTTCAAGTTCTCGATTTCACTCTCCTTGTACGTATCTAAAATCTCCTACTATATTACTCCGTTTTCGCCTCCTATAATACCTTTTAAATTCAGACCTACTATACTACAAGCTATGCTTTTTATCTAGGCTCTCCACATTTTACATTGTTTTTCACCTTGCCTGTCATCTATATATTTCCGAAACTTCGTACTTATTTTCCGTACATTATACTTGATTTGAAATCTTTAATATTTGCGTGTGTGTGTGTGTGTGGAATCTACTATTATACGCTTGTATATATAAAACAAAAATGATTTAAACTGTTTTTTGATGTAAAATGTGGAATAAATAAACTTCAAGTTATTCATCAATGATGATTATATGGCGCTGTTTCTTTTTCTCTGGTTCAAATGTTGTTTCGGTAACTTCGGTGTTTAATTTTTTTCCCTTCAATATTACTCCTCGAATGGTTGCCACTGAGTTTCACATCTCCCTTTTGTTGGTTGTGACCGTTCAATCAATGGTGGGGGCAATGAGTTAGGTGTCGACCGTGTACAGAGTGCGAGTATTAATAAAGGTTAACTGTGCAGTGCTAAACTATACCTTTCCCTTTCTTCCTCTCCGAGAGAGAGAGAGAGAGAGAGAGAGAGAGAAGGCGAACATGAAATAATATAAATACAAAATAAACATTAGCGTATAGGCCTATATATAATTTGCTCTTTACATCACTTTGGCATTTATACTAATTTTTGTTGTATTTTTAATAGCCTGCAGGGCTGACATCTAATCTGATAATATTACTACAGATACTGGAAGAAAGTTCAGTATCCATTGTAAGACTAGGATGATCGCTGTCAGTTCGGCAGTCATAATATTTACTGGGGTGGTTCTATAACCTCTATTTATCTTTAATTTTGGAATATACAAAGCCGCACCTGTTAGACCATCATCATGCAAGTTTGGTTCTATCTGACATATATATTTTCAAACAGTTGTTCCATTTCATTGAAATGTTTTCTAATGCACGATTTAACTGCTGTTTTGGAAGCGACTTCTCCTATCCTTTTCACTTGATCATGTATACTGAAAGAAACATTTGGTTTCACAAATGAGTGCGAGGAGTACATTCCGCATGTTTTTCTAGGTTTGGTATTTCTAAAGAGCATGCTAAATTCATGAGGGGACCCTGATACTGTTTCCGATTTATTTCATTCGTATCGCTTTTTATACTATTTATAATAATCCAATTTCGTTTACAAAATCGTAACTCTTTGTCTTCAATCCTCTATCTCTCCTTCTGCTTATGATTAGGCTGCATATATTGCAATATGATTAATAATAATAATAATAAGGCATCGGTATGTAAACCTAGAGCTCAAGAAAGAAAGTACATGTAATTTGAGGGCATTTCAATGACAGCTAATGCATTCGGTTCCTCTGTGTTGGAATTTGATGGTTATCATTAGAGCCCCAAATTTGCCAAAAATATGAAAGAGGAATGTCATTAAAGACACACTTCTGCAAAGATTTCCTCTAAAAAATGTGTCAAGACAAATATTGATATACACCTGTAAGAATACATAATGTGGGTTTTCTGTGGTACGCAGCCTAAATGTTGTATTCTTTCATCAATATTCGAATTCAAACACATTTGTTTTGAAAATCCTTGCAGAAATGAGTTTTTAAATGATACAATTAAAGTGAAATCTTTCCATCAAATTTGTTGGGCTTCCAACTCTTTAGATGGGCTTTAATTACAATCGACCATTGGTCACGAATTCTTTCCGCTTGTTCATTAATAACTATCCAGAAATGCATGAAGTTATTAACAGAAATCTTTGTCTCAATGTAGCTTGAGTTTTTTGTTTATCAAATGATTTAGATTACGTCTTGATTCCCAAGTCTTAAGAGGTGGTATCTGAAAACGTTGCCAATTGTCATAGCAAATCAAAATTAGAGGCTGTATTATATTCGCGTAGGGTTAAAAGAGATCTGCGCAAGCACCGATGGTTTCTTCCGCGCAATTTCAGTTTGCTATGACCATGACAATAACATGTTCCTCAACATCGTTCTGTATCTCTCTCTCTCTCTCTCTCCCCCTTTCCGTCTGGTACCATCCTCTCACTCTGCCGTTGACTTTTGCTTTCTCAAAATACATTAGTAATCGTTTTAATAAACTTCACTTTACTGTCTATATCCACTTTTGATTTAGAGTCTATATGCATAACATGTTTTAGATTGTCATATTTGAAATACATTATATAACCATTTCGTTTTCATGATTAAATATATGAATGCAAACAAATGCTTTCATATTGAAATTCATTTCTTCTCCCCGTCTGTCTGTCTCTCTCTCCCTATTCATTTGAGAAATCTGATTAATTAAATGATAGCAAATGATAAATCCAGGATATCACCTGAAACTACCAAGATAATAATGGGGAAAAAAATCAACTCTCAACACAAATATGGTATATGTTATTTAACTGAACAATTTGATTTTATTTACAACTATTTCTAATTACGTAACATTTTGATAATTTTCAAATAGTACAAAATGCGTATGTACAAATATACAGGTATCGTCATTGCATCATCAGAATCAAATGATTACATGTTGTGTTTGTAAGCGTGATTTTAAAAAAATCTCACGAGATTTATCTAAAAACATTTTTGTAACATGGAATGCAGTCGTATAATCAACATTGTACAATGAATGAAGACACGAAAGAGTGATATAATTTAAAGATTATGAAGACAATAAGCTGCATTTTACACACTTCTCATCAGCTCACATTCATACACAAATACATGTATTGCATGTATTCAATATAATCTGTTCAGAGCCAGGAGGGCATTAACTCACTGTAAAAGTATATGGGTTGACGACCTTCTGGCTCCAAACAGACCATACCATCATCGCCTGTTAGGAACAAAAGGGACGTACTCTGTTAATAGATACGAGTGAAACGCCCTTATGGCTCTAAACAGATACCATCATAATCTATTGAGAACAAGATGGACATAAATACATGTACTCTGTCAAGGATACGAGTTATCGCCCCTCTTGCTCCCAACAGACCATGATTCATCTTTTGAGGATAAGAAGGGTCTCTTTGCATAAATGTACTAGTACTATGTCAATGGATACGCTTTAACGCCCTTCTCGCTTTCAATAGACAATCTACACGACATGTCCTCATACAAACGTGCCTGGTTTGGGCAGAAACTCTTTCACCACACTCTTTTCACATTCTCCAACTGAAAATGGCAAGATGGTTTCATACACTCTCTTGATTTTGGAGATAAACGTGTATTACTCTTGTAAACATAACCCAATGATGAAGAAGTGCATTGCCTAAAAAAAAACTTACATTATACCTCTCACTAGACCGAAAAAAAAACAGTCTATTTTGTTCGGGAGATGTGTTAAGCTGAGACTGTGCCTGGCTTCACCGAATCCTTCTCCTCTCTTAGAGGAGAGGGTCAAAAGACAAAATATGGTTAAAAGAAACTCCTCCAAGAAGATCGTTTTTTTTTTTGTCTACGCTCTCACATGATCAGAGCACAATATGTGGGGGACAAGTCTAAACTATTTTGTCCAATAAGTTACCAACCGCATCTACAATTTTAAAAGGATATTAAGCACAAACGGGACAGGTACAGGTACAAGAAAGAAATTGCAATGTACACATGAACACGTATTTCCAAACATTCAGTTAATCAAAATTATAACAGATAAGTGAAAATTGGAGGCGACAAAACCACAAATAAATTCTTACCCAACTAACCCTAAGCAAAAAACAAAGTAACCTCGACAATGCAACAATACACCGTACAGAAAATGAAGTATCTGCCACACACAGAATACTCCAATTGTTGTTTGGAAAACAGATTGTAAATAGAATACATGCATCTCAGAAGATCATTAAGTATACCGTATTGCAAATCCGTGAATGTAACATAATCCGATGAGTTGAGAAATTGTTCCTGAATGCCAAGACTGGAGAGGTGGATTATGGGACTGAACAGTTACAAAATGTCAACTTTTTCATAATCCACATTTTTCTTTAATAAAGTTATAACAGATGGTATAGACAACCAGGAAATTTGGTAACAATGAAACTTTTTCAATTTGTGAACAACAGCCACTTTCACAGCATACATTTTCACCCATTACAAAAAATGTCAGTGCTCTGTCAGCTGTTGCCAAATCAGTTTATTTTGAAGAATACGATAGTCTTGCAAATTTAAACTCCTGGCAAAATTCAAGTACGATTCACGCATGCAATATTTTCTGATTTTTTTTTCCAGCAACAAATACCTTGCTAAAAGGAGCATGCATGCCATATGGCCTAAAACAGTGTGCGGAAAATTTGACTTGCAGGCTTGCAGCATTATATTTTATTGCAGGTAAACGGTTGAAGTTCTCTTTTGTTAAATCACTATCAGTAAATTTCTTTTCGCAATTTTGGTTATCTCAGAGTCGTCGGGCTAACTTCAAACCCGGGAACAACTCGGCCCGTTGCGAATATGGGGCCGAGTTGTCCCGGCATGATTGAATTTTTATGATTTTTTTAGGATTAGGGTTCAGGGTTAAAGTTAGGGTATGCCGGCATTGCTGGGACAACTCAGACGAGTTGTCCCCGAGTCTGAGTAAGCCCGGATCCATCTCAGAGGGACAAAATAATAATGGGTCAAAAGCCTGGCTGTGAAGAGGTCATCCGTAAGTGGTTTATTAAAACAAACTTCTCTACCATAACAACACAAATTAATAGGAAAGATTAACATCAGGAAAAAAAGAACAAAGTGCTCATTGCTTACCTGTACACCTTACGATCGGGGAAACACAAACATCACATTTTACCCACAAATATTATCATACATCGACGGAACATAAACCAACTTCTTCCAATATATTCATCCATCGTTGGTTGGGTATTCTCACTCTTAACAAAGTCCATTTACACAAGATTAAAGACGGAAATGGGAAGACTAGCTCCTGATGGGCTGGAGACGGTCAGAGAGGGGTAGAATATTGTCGAAGTAGGGATGCCTCATGCTGGCTTTAGCTGTAATACGTTTGGCAGGGTCGTATATAAGCATTTGCTGAAAATGGAGAGAAAAAGAAAAAGGAATATTATCATAAATTCAAATAACATAGGATTTAATTTGTGTGTACTTGTGTGTTATTGGTACTGGTATTTATGCATTTTTTTCTATATAGATATTGTAAGGAGAATTCAAATGTTGGCTTGGGCAGAAGCGGCAACAACACTGATCTATAAATGTAATGCTTCCTGGGAGACATTTCAATTATTATCAGGAGAGCTTGGTTATTAGTTCGAGGTGACTGTACCATTTACCAGTGATGGCCTGGTGGTAGAGTCGCTGCCCGGCAAGCAGTAGATGGCAGGCTCAAGTCCCGCCGGTTCTTGTTTTTCAATTACAGATCAATCAATCGGTCCTCTTTACTTGGTCTAAGCCACAAAATGTTTAAATAACACTGATCTATGGTCCAATTTCTAACACTTGCCACGTTCCTAAATTCAACATTTGACCAAACACTATACCTGACCATAACCCTTACATAAAACGTAAAACCTTTTTGCAACATATTCCTGTATCTATATATGCTGCCACTTTGACTGCACAATCATCACAAGAGCAAACGTCCAACCACCCATCACCAGGGAAAAAATATCAAAACAATTTCGGGAGCTACTTTTCAAGCTCGCTTGCAGGAAAATCATCACCGAGCCCTTGTGTATTTTTCCCCTGCCAATCACTCACCTCTAGCAGATCTAGTCCTCCCTCGTCCATGCCTTTGACCGCTCCCTTGATGTTGGGCTTTGTCCACATCGGGAAGGTTGACTTGTAGTCCTGGAGCTGTGTCACACCGGGCCATATGTCATCCGTCGGTGTGCCAAGGGTCCTAGAATAATGATGATAATAATAATGGTGGCTTCTTATATAGCGCACATGTCCGTCACGTTATGACGCTCCTGGCGCTGCCTTGATTATTACCCTGACTTTAGCAAGGCGGCCACTATACAGCGCTCTAGCATTTCAAGGAATTAATTCCTGCCAGGTACCCATTTACATCACCTGGGTTGAGTGTGGCAAATGTAGATCAATGTAGCAAAGAACTTCCTACTTGACAGTGTCAACAGGGTACTGTGTGCAAATGTGAACAGATTCACATGCACAAAGGACACTTGGTATGCATGCCAAGTGTAGGGGACATCAGAGAGAGAGAGAGAGAGAGAGAGAGGTATCATTAGCAGACTAATTTTTGCTAAAAAAGAGCCCTGCTTCATATGTACCGTATACACATGTAATAACTATTTTTAACACTGCTTTATGTTTGAAATCATCCCCCCCCCCTCCCCTTGTTAACAAAATTTATAGTGCCTTTGGATGCTTGGTACATGCAGTCAAACAGGTCTATAGTGACAGTCGAAGGGAAACACAAAAGGTGGTCTTTGTAGACAGGTTCCTTTAGTACATGTTTCAATGAGAAACCATTTTCAAGGGAAACAGAAAAGTGGTCTTCATAGACAGGTGGTCACTAAAGCAGGTTTGACTGTATTTTCATAAACCAGTCCTTCAATCAAGCATTTGTCACCCCTCCCCCTCCACACAACCAAAGAACCCTGTTTCACAAAAGGTTAGTACCTACACTGTCCAATGTCCTCAAACTGTAAGGTGTATGATCAGTGGGGTAGTCTTACCTGAATATCCTAAAGAGTTGATCAATCTCTGAGTCGCCGTGGAAGAGGGGTCTCTTGGTGACCATCTCGGCAAAGATGCAGCCCAAACTCCACATGTCGATAGGGCAGGCGTACCTCGTGGAACCCAGGAGAACCTCAGGGGCACGATACCATAGAGTGACGACCTGTGAAAGTGGGCATGCATAGAAATAATCAAATGCCCTAAGATATGTAGTTTGTCTATGGTTGTGTACCCACATGTCGTCCCTGGACAGGTGGATGGTTATACGGACAGTTGATTCGTAGTTTACAGCAGCAATATTCCACATATCTTTTACGATTTATGTTGGATTATATAATAGAGGACAAATATTCACAATAGTTAGTGCTATTTGATGCTAAGTTATTTTTTCAAAAGGCAAATGTGACAGCTTTATTTGTTTGAAATGTCCAAACAAAATCCTCCCATCATACCTATCTCTCACCATCTACTCTCTTGCTTAATAGCATCAGCACTAAAGCAGAGCTGCCAACCTTGTGCGACCAAAAAAAGGAACCATGATGGCAAAAAAAAAAGGAATTCATTAACACAACACACTTCCAATGCAGAAATGTCCATTCCTCATGCTGTTTTTTTCCAAATTAGGACCTATAGACAGTTTATTTACAAGAAGGTTTTTTTTGTTAGTTAGGTATTATCAGCATTTCATTCTTTATGTAAGTATGTTTTAACCTTAGTTTTCTATTGAATTTGTGATCAAATCAACATTTAGGGTAGTTTTTTTTTTTATGTATGTAAAAAAAAAAAAAAAACGTACTACCCTAATTTGGAGGAAAAAACATAATAATTCAGGGAAAAATGTAATGGTTGGCAGCTCCGTCTATGCTTACTTTTTCACTGAGCTTAAACAAACTAGGGATCTTTTGCATCCCGATTGGTGGAAAATCAAGTTGCATTAAGTTGCATTAAACGTTTTACCCAAAGAAGCCTCTGACTTACTTCATGAGTATAAACTCTGACTGGGATACCGAACGCTCTAGCAAGCCCAAAGTCTGCCAGTTTGATGGTACCATTGTTGTCTATGAGAAGGTTCTGGGGTTTGAGATCTCTGTGCAGGATACGACGACTGTGGCAGAAAAGGATACCGTCGACCATCTGATGAAGGTAGCTCTAAAATGGCAAAAAAGAAAGAGAAACAAATGTAAAGTTATCTGAGTTGTGATATTTCCATGGTAGCATGGGATTTGACTGCAAAGTCGAGCCCAAAGGATTGGAGAAGAAATCCACTATTATTCCTCCACACCACCAATAAAAAACAACTCTGGTTACAGAAATTAAGAGGGGGAGAATGAGAAGGATAAAAACAAGAACAAGAAGAAGGAGAAGGAGAACAATAACAAGAAAGAGTACAAAAGAAGAAGGAGAAGAACAGGAACAAGAAGCAGAAGTAGGACAAGAACAAAAACAAAAAGGAGGAGAAGAAGAAGGAGAAGAACAAGAAGAAGAAGCAGCAGAAAGAGAAGGAGTAGAAAACACACACACACACACACAAATAAATTTAAAAAAATAAACAATAAGAAAATAATAGAATTAAAAAAACTACTGTAGGCTATGCTCAAAAGCATTTGCCTTGCCTCGATGGCCTTAATACCTCAGAACCCAATGACTTGAACTACATGTAGTTTCCTGATAATGGCCCAGTTTTCTAGATTACCTTGACTAGTGCTGGATCCATCTGTTTTCCTTTGAGTGATTCCATGTACTTCTTGAGGTCCATCGTCAGGTATTCAAAGACCAAGTACAGCCTATTCGGTTCCATCAGAACGTCTTCCAACCTGTATGTAAAGATACAATTGTAGGTATAACTAGTTATTTTTATTACCAACCAGTCTGCCCCTAGTCTACCAATCCAGACGAGGCTTCTCTCTCTCCGACACCCGATCTGGGCCCCATCTTACAAAGAGTTGATATCAATCATAACTATGTACATAAGAGATAGGAGACGGCAAACTTGCGGTTGATTGGAGGACTTATGATTGGTTTGGATCAATCGCAACTCTTTGAGAGACGGGGCCCTGATGTCTGCTGGACAAACAATCTGGGCCCCATTTCACAAAACTTGTCATCAGAGGCAAATGAGTAAATGACAGTTTTTGTTATGAGCTGGTGAAATCCTATGGTTATCAGCAGATTCGTCACTGATTTTTGTCATTGAGATTGAAAAAAGGCTTTGTGAAACGGGTCCCAGATCTCATTCTTCTAGAGAAGACGAGTAGTATCCTTGAGAGACTCTATCAGATAAAATGCAGCAAAACTGCTGCACTTTAAAAGATGACGTAAAGTGTAACAGGTTTCACATTTCTGTTTCTTACATGTATATCAAAGAGCTCAGTGAAAATGAGCAAGTCATTCTGATTGAATACATGAAAAATCATGAACATTCAAAGCCAATAATCTCAGTTCATAATTTTGTTTTTTAATTCCATTCGTCAGTAACCTTTACTGATCAATCTCTTTCTCTGATTTTGCTTTTTTGCACTCCATGAAATGAAAGGCCAATTCTTCCTGCGAGAGTAGAGTACTAGGAATCAAGATTAAAGTAGGGACAATTTGGTCTCCCCAAAATCCTTCGCTCTTGTCACCAGTTATCACTTTTAGAACTCAACTAGCTAAAGACATACCTATTTCAGATTGCTTACAATTAGTGACTGCTTTTTTTGTCTTTCCCAGTTAGAATCATGAACAGATATGTTGGTAGTTCTTCAGTCTCATCAGCACCTTTGATTAGGCAACTAGATATTGGCGCTTTATAAATACAGTCAAACCTGCTTTAGTGACCATCTGTCTACAAGGACCACATATTTTGTTTCCCTTGAAAATGGTTTCTCATTAAAACATGTACTAAAGGAACCTGTCTACAAAGACCGCTTTTTGTGTTTCCCTTGGGCGGTCGCTGTAGACAGGTTTGACTACCTGGATTGGATTGGAACTTACATAACAATATTTGGATGATAGAGCTCTTTTAGTAGTGAGATTTCTCTGATGGCTGTGCTTGGTACTCCCTCCTCTTCGCTCTCCAGCCGAATCTTCTTCAGAGCAACGATCTTTCCAGTCCTTTTGTGCTTGCCCTTGTACACAACACCGTACGTACCTGGGATATTTATGAAAAGACACAATGCCACCTCAAGTTAAAGGAAAATACCACCTTGATAAACAACAGGGTGATAATCGTGGACTTGAGCATTTTACAAGAAATTATTATTGTTATCATTGTTTGGAAAATTATTCGAAAAATTGTTCATACTCAACAATAAATCAAATAAGTATAAAAATAAAAATATTGTGGGTGTAGCACTGCTCCAATAATTTCAAGTTTACAATTCATTTATTTCTCAGCTCTAACCATATCTTTAATATCAAATGCTCCCCAAAGTCAACTCATGATCATATCTTCATAACCAAAAGTCATTTGTCATTCATATTTATCATGATCAAGGTCAATATTTGTCCAGACAATTTCAGGTAAAAAAACGTGGTGCAGACGTGAACGTCCGCGCGTCAGTGTGCACGCAGACTTGAGTACTCACACAGAGTTTAAATTCTGTTGGAGTCTATCCTTTCTATGAAAATTTGTTACTACTCATTATTAGAAGAAAAGAAGGGGAAAATAGTACATGTTTTTTAGTATCCCATTTTTCAAGAGTATTGCCATTTTCTTGAGTGGATTAAAAAAAAGATATTTAAAAACAACTTAGTTTACATGTACAATGCAAGTAGCAGAGTACTTAGTAACATGCTATGCAGCAAATAGTAAAAATAGAATTTCCATTGGCTAGAACACAACAAACCTACATATATTTATAAATTTGTTCATAACTTCATATTATGAATTTATAACTAAAAGGTTTTAATGTGATAGGAAAGTAAAGAGAGTAGAAGATGGGGAGGGGGGGGGGGGGTTGAAATGCACTTACCTTCTCCCAACTTTTCAATCTTCATAAAGTCTTCCATATTTCAGTTATAAAGTACACACACGTACAGGAAGAAACAGGTTTTTAAATCTGCAGAAAAACAAAAAACACATTTTATGACTATATTTCCTAAATAAATTGGGTTGAGAAAGAATATGAACCTGCTGCTGATTTTCAAACCCGCAGTAGCTGTTAAATTGTTACATGTACTTTGAAGTTTGAACCCCTTGTGGACCACTATTTAGACAAAGAAAATATTGATCCTTCATGTAATAGTGTGGGCTTAGGCCACGCCTAGACAGAAAAAAATATCTGGTTAGAAGAATCTTTACAATACATTTCCCCCTAAATGTTAAGGCATGGTGGGGCCGCAGCCCACGTGACAGATGTAGTCTCAGCACAACATATCCTCAAGTGAAATTATAGATTATAGATTTTTTAATTATAATATAGACAGAAAATAACCTGCCATCTGGCATGAGGAGTTTTTGGTTGAAAATTTGAAATGTGTCGTAAATAGGATACTTACATGGCAGATGTCATCAAATAATTCTTCAGAGTCATACCAGCACTGAGTAGAGTCAGTACAAGACAGTAGACAGTTATTTTAGTGGGGGGTACTACATAACATAGGGTCTATGGAACTCTAACCAAATGATTTAGGCCTAGACCATAGCCTACCGGTATATCTTTTGACTTTTTAATACTTTTCGAAGCACACAGATATTTCTCTGTCTATCACTCATACTCTTTTCACACTGGTTTTGCTTAACCCCGTACTTTGCTTAGCCCCGTACTATCCTTAACCCCGGACTATTTTTTTGGCTTTTCACACTCGCTGTTTTTAGTCCCGTACTAGCGCCTATTCCGGAATAAGAAAATTCCCGCTGTTCTCACTGCATTTCGTTAACCCCGGATATCGTGTAGGTCTATGTTATGATAGGACATACTTCGCATCTGGCCAGCTGCGATACGCTCCATTGTGTAGTACCGGACTATTTTTCGTTTCTGTTCTCATTCGTTTGCTTAGCACCGCAATTGCGGGGTTAGCAGGAGTTAGCACCACAATTGCGGAGTTAGCCCTGCTATTTTGCAGGGTTAGTTAACCCCGTACTATAGGTGGGGTTAGCCAACTTTAGCCCACTTTGGTAAAAGCCAGTGTGAACAGAAAGTGGAATAGGCTTGGGTTAAGACCCCCCCTTAACCCCACCTATAGTACGGGGTTAAGGAAAATATTGCCAGTGTGAAAAGCATATCAGTCTCAGAATCAGCCACAGCCACATTTGCAAACTTTTGGGTGCTCTTAATTATTGTTGACAACATTTTCTGGACTCGGTGAACGGGTGAAGTTCTGTTACTAACGATTTAGTGTTAAATTAAACTCAGCCCCAGTTCAGGCTTTCATTTAAATTTAAATTTTACATTGTTATTAGACTACCAGCTGCTTAGTGTTTCACTCGGGGATCTGCTCAACTTTAAAAAAAATTGTTTATTATTTAAGGTTTAACTTTAAACGTTAAAAAAGGACACTAAAAGTCTGAATCAGTCATCAACTTTCGACACTGGCACTGCACTCGCCCTGACACGACACCCTGTACTCAATCTGCAAACTGAGTGATATCAGTCAAATATTTTGACATTTTTGCAAAGATGCCAAAGTCTCAACAGTTCTAACACTAGATCTAGACTTTCTAGACCCCTAGACCTATTCATAATTTTTTGTTAAAAAAAAAAAAAGGATTTCTGTGCATGCTTGTCACTGTCTCATCTCAACTGTCAACATGAACATCATCATCATAAGATAAGAATCACATAGGCCTAGATTCTAATATTAAATTAGTGACTAAATGTGGGTGAAGTTCTGTACTAAATCGGCTGGTTTTAATCGAATAATTTTTTCACAACGTCAATCTTTTGAATTACACTAACGGCGAGTTGGTCAGTATTTTTACCTCCACGTCCCCCAAACATGACTTGCAAACCCATTGCATTTTGCATTGTGTTCGTATGAACTGCAAGGCGAGATCGCGAGATGAGGGCGAGTCTGCCAGCGCAGGTGCCAGCTCTGAGAATACGATTAAAATTGACTTATAAATTGGATATTATATCATAAATCGCCTAAATTACTACATTGTACATAATAATCTTATATTTACCGTAAGAAAAATATCCAGATGTCGTCCAGTTTAGAGTCAGTAGAACTTCAAAATCTATGCTTGATCGGCGAGTTGAAACTGCGTGCTACGTAATCAGGTGCATGTTGTCATTGTATGCATGTAAATTGAATTGCATGTAAATAATTTTTTTGTAAAAGCCGCGGTGGTTCGAAAACACCAATCAACGTCGCTCATTGCAGTCACGTACACTCAACCGTCTCGGAATTATCCAATGAATGGGAAGGTAGGCGGGGTCTAATGGCTTAACACTGTACAGTTTCAACCGAAAGGTGGCGGTCTTTCAAAAGTATTTGCAGAGCAAATTTGCGCCGTACCCCAATATCACACGAAATTATTCAGAAAACTATGATAAATGTAATCGTATCAGCCTTTTAATTATTTGATTTCAAAGACGAGTATTTTACCTGAAACTTTGTATAATCACGCTCAAGCAAAATTCTTCAGTCTTATATATATTTTTTAAATACCCCCCCCCAAAAAAAAAAAAATAATAATAATAATAATGCTATACATGTACAAGCATAGAGTCTTGTATACCTTTTGGGGTCCGATTTTGGATTATGTTTGTTCGTCGGGAGTGCTATGTCTGTTGTTTCTTAATTAAATAAACTGAACTGTTCATGGGCCGAAATGTTTTCCTTCATTTAGAATTATTAAAAACAAATCATAAACATAAAAGGGAGCATACCATGCTTCGGAAAGTGTTTACAATGTGATAGCAACCATCATCTCCAAATCAGCAAGTATTAGGAAGCTCATTATAATAACGGGGTTTATATATTCGCTGATTCACAGGTAAATTTGTTTGTTTATCATTAGACCGATTTATCATTCTTATATTTATCGTTGATTTTGAAAAATCATAATTTTTTTAAAACAAAACAAAAATACTGCAACTTTGTAGTGAAATATATCTTCATGGATGCGAGGAGGGGGTGTCAGCTCCCCCCCCCCCCCCATCCTCCCCCGTTGAATTTTGCCAGTAGGCCCTGAGCCCATACATCAAAGATGAAGACAACCATGCAGTCAAAGCGAATTCACAACTAGAATTATTATCATCAGTGCCACAATATCGTATATTGAGTAAGCTATATTCATGAGGCTCAAAGGGAGACAATTTGAGCCGGTTGCCCCAAAATTGAAAAGCTGGCTACGCCATCGTAAAACAACAGAAGGTGGTGGTCAGTAACGGTTCTAAAGGGAGGGGGAGGGCTTGAGGGGCTCAAGTCCTCCCAATTGTTTGCAAGCCCTTATATTTTCACGATTGAAGAATTTAAGCGATGTCAATAATTAAAAAAATTAAAACAAGGATACAGCATCCTTCTTTCCATAAGGGAGATTACCTGTCTTGCCACCTTCAAAAGATCCCTCAAAATTTTCCCTTTTTTCCCAATGATCTGTGTGATCTTTTCATGCGAGACAGTACATTTTTTGTCCTCTTTTCATATATTTGTATTTGTAAGCGCTATGGTACTAATTGTTTTTAGCGCTCCTAAATATTCGATATTATTATTATACCAAGCCCCAAGCTCTCCACATTATTGTTCTAGAATCGCACCTGAGCAAGGATAGCAATAATAACCATTACCATAACATTGGGGAGATGATCTTCCTGATCAAAATCTAGAAATATTAAAAATGTTTTCAAAAACACGATCGAAAAGACTATGAGAAATCAACCTTAGGCAATTATAGCCTTGGAATATGCTTTTACGTAATCTGAAAATAATAAATAATTTCTGTGGGATTTATTCAAGGTATTAAAATTGTCTCTGACTTGTTTTCTCATCGACGTGTATATTTGGATGTCCAAGCGAGATGTAAGTGAAAAACAACAACAAGTAATTAAAGGGGAAAAATTAAAGAACAAGAAGAAAGTCTATTAAAGAAAGGAGAAAGCAAACAAACAACAAACATACAGCGGACAGACAAACAGACAGGCAGACATGCACACATACAAACTTCATAGGGGGTGTCAGCTCCCCCACCCCCGTGGAAATATTGCCTGTAGGCCCACGCCATAAAGCAAAATTGAAGAAACCATGTAGGCCTAGTCAATAAAGCGAATTCACAAATAGTAGTATTATCATCAGTGCCACAATTTCGTATATTGAGTAAGTTATACTCATACGATGTGGCTCATGGTGTAGACACTTTGAGTCGGTTGCCCCAAAATTGAAACACCCCTTTATATTTTCTCGATTGCATGCGTTGCCGGGGTAATAATCTCTAAGTTTGGAAGCGCTTAGTGATTCTAATCAGCGCTATATCAAAACTGAGTATTATTATTATTATTTATTAAAAGGATTTGAAGCGAGGCCAATAATTTTGAAAATTAACACAAGCTCTCCACATTATCATTCTAGAATCGCGCCTGAGCAGGGACAGCAACAATAACCATGCCATAAAATCAGGGAGATGAAGGCTTCCTGATAGAAACATTAAAAATGTTTTCAAAAATACGATTGAAAACTGACTATGAAAAAACAACCTCAGGCAATATAGCCTTTGAGTATTGCGTAATCTGAAAATAATACCTATGGGATATAACAAGATATTGAAATTGTCTCTGATTTGTTTTCTCTTCGACGTGTTTATTTGGATGTCCAAGCGAGATGTAACAGCAAGTAAACAAACAAAAAAGAACAAGGAGAAAAGCTGTTAAAGATATAAAAAAAGCAAACAAACAACAAACAAACAGCGGACGGAAAAAACCTAGAAACATTAAAAATGTTTTCAAAAACAAGATTGAAAAAAACTATGAAAATCAACCTCAGGCAATCATGGCCTTGGAGTAGGCCTATTACGTAATCTGAAAATATTAAATAATTTCTATATGGGATATAACAAAATTGTTTTTGACTTGTTTTCGCATCGACCTGTTTATTTGGATGTCCAAGTGAGGTGCAAGTTAAAAACAACGACACGTAAACAAAACAAACAAACAAAAGAACAAGAAGAAAAGCTATTAAAGAAATGAGAAAGCAAAAAAACAACAAACATACATCATTACATAATTATAAACAAGCTCACAAACACTGGCCAAACGAACTTCTCCAAAGATACTTTTTATTCAATTATTTTAAAGGTACTATGTCCCTTTTGCAGCCAACATCAAATTCTGTATAGAACTTTGCAGGAATTATGAATTTGTAATGTATGTCCTATCTGTGAAATTTAAACGTTAGCGGTGTCCTGATATTCCAATTATGCATGAAACCCGTTTACTTGCTAGAATTCTCTGTCAGACACTATTGAGTGACTGACTGGCTCTTTTTCTTCTTTGGTATGAACATATATAAAATGAGCTGTAAAGGGTACATGAGCATTTTGTCTACATCCGTCAATAACCCACTTCTTGTAATGGCCAAAATTAAACTGATTGAATCTTTGTGCAGCACAAAACGTTCGACCATTCGGTACAATGGTCTGAAAATCAGACTATTACTCACTGACTTGGTAGCACTTAAGTCGATTTGACAATAATTAATAGTCGTTATTTTGCCACTTACAGACATCTTCAAGCCCCCTTTTTTAAGGTAAGTTCTAATTTGTATTATCTTTCAAATGCCGTTGGAATCTAACCTTTTCATTATTTTGTTGGCCTGCAAATGGGACATAATAGTACCTTTAAAACCCTTAAAAGATACAGGGCCTATAGAAGTAGATGGTGAAGGGGGGGGGGGGGGGGGCACGTGTCCCCAAAATTTCCAGGATCGGTTGAACTTTTTTAGACCCCTCCCCCGTTTTTTTTTGTTTTTTTTTACCTCGATCGATAAGGCCTACATGTGCCCCCCCCCCCAAAAAAAAAAAAACATCAAACTCTGGCTACTAGCCATGATGTGGATCTGCATGTGTAACTTTTTTTAAAAATCCACCCTTTTTACTCTCTCTCTCTCTATTCTTTTCAACTTTTTATTTCTTTTTGCATTTAATCTAGGTGGGCACATCAGTGGCGGATCCAGGGGGGGGGGGGCCCGGGGGGCCGGCGCGTTTTTCAAATTTCTGTACCCCCCCCCCCCCCCCCCTGAGCGACTTTTCGGCCGGCGCGATTTTCAAATTTTCGGGAGCAAAAAAAAAAAAAAGTTGGGCCCCCTCCCCTAAGAAATCCTGGATCCGCGCCTGGGGCACATGCCCTTATTTTTGCATGAATAGTCTACTGCGGGTAAAAATTAAGTTATTGCAACTTCATACAAGTCCGAAACACGGTGACGACACGCAACATAAAACATACACAAACGAACAACAACACTTGTTCTTCTTCTGTTGTATGTAATAACAGAGAGGTAATTGGTAATGCCCTGTTCCTTTCCATCATCACTTCCAGCACCCTTTGGTCCCCCATTTGGTCCCCCATGCGGGTGATGCAGTCCACCAACTTTGACTCGGGAACCCAGAGCCAGTCTTTCTTCCATCCAGCATCGAATCGAATCGGCCGAGCCGCGCTCCAGCATCGCAGCAACCTTCTCACTGCACCACTGGTAACTTATTGGATAAACCGCGCTAACATTCATTGTGTGTACGCATTCTACCAATCATCCGTATCCCTCTCCTCCCAATCTTACGTTTGACGATTTGATGTTCCGTTTTATTCATCTTTGCAGCTGTATATGGATTTTCCTTGCTATGGAGCGCTGAATCAATGCACGTGAGTCAATTGCCTTTGATTTTTCTAGTTCTATGACTCAAATAACATTCACACTACTCAAACAATGGTAAAGAGACCCTACTGGTACAGCACAGTGGCACCCCAGTACGTGCCGTGCGGGGATGTGAGATGCTGCAAATTTGCTCATTAGGGTTTTGATTACCAGCTTTTTGTGCATATATTCTTTTTGCATATACTTTTTGTCGCCAGAGTCAATAAATTCTATTCTACTCTAGTTGAAATTTGAAGCTGTTGTAAAAGTAAGCAAGATAGAGAGAGAGAAAGAGAGACAGGGGGAGGGGGGGGGGGGGGGGCAAACAGAAATAATATAATGGAGAGAAGAAAAAAAAGGAAAGAGAGGGATAGCTGTGGGGCGTGAGGATATTACCAACCCCACACCTCTATAGATTTGCCATCATTGGAGAAAGATGGATGCCCCCACTCCTATTAAATATGTGTCCGTA